ACAGCAAGATAATGGTGCTGACTTCTGACAGATCTACTCCTTCCAAGAACCCCTGGTGTTGGATTCTTAAGTTCAATACTGTGAATCATCAATTCAGAGAGGCTGATCCAGGAAAGGCCTGGGAGACGCTGCATCCAACCAGTGATCTATCCTACTCCATAAAACAATGAAAATGAGCATTAATGTAAAATTAATTGACCTTCTTTTGTGATGTTTGTCTCACATTAAATCACATGTTAGAAATCTTAAAAGCAACAACTGCTAAACCTGCAAGCTCCCAACCTTAGTGACACCTGCCTGATTGCCACGACATATAAAAATAGACAAAGCACTGTATATTATTTAATTATATTATTTGTGTAAACTATTTATAACTACTATTTTCTCTCGCTTTTAAAAAAAAATCACTCTGACTTATGAAAAAGGTTATCTTAAAAGGAACTAGCTTTCTCTCAGCTGGTATCTTTTAGATCAGAAGTTTAAATCTAAATTTATTGAGCCTTATTTTGATCTTTTATCCTAAGTGTACCGCTTCACTACCTTGGCTGCACAATCTGTTTGATATAGATGCTGGAGCTGCAGCCTGATCAAACTCATCGTCATAGCAACCGCGTTCATGTGCACATCAAGTCATCTACGTAATCATGCTATCTATCTTGTTCCCAGAATAGCCAGAGGCTGTCGGTACCTGAAGCTTGGACAAATCGATCAAAGGGAGCATTTGAAAATATAAAAATTTATAGAACAAGACTTAGTATTCTCGAAAAAGAAAAACAATAATTTTTGTTTCAGGTTTGCCTGAAAGGTTGTTTTTAAAAGCTCACCAGAAACAACTGTTTCAGCAGTTATTTTCTAAAATAACAATCAGACCATAACTAGCTCCTTTCTGCATCATTAGCGCTCATTAAATCTGCCATGATGTGAGTTAGAGCAATGCCTATATTTCAAATCAAAATAGGATTTGACTGAAGGAAACACATTAAACCCATCATGGGCTGCAGTATGTCAGCTTAAGGACTCACTGTAGTGATGTAATGAGTTTTACAGCTTGATTCTCTCCGCTATTTTTGTAATTTAAACCTCAGCTCATATGGAAACAAAACCACAAAGTAGCAATGCAGACATCCCTTCTTTTTATTGCTTTTCAACAAGCCCATGTGCTAGAAGGAAGCAATGTTTCAAATGAGCTCATTTCTGTATTTTGAGTGAAAGCTGTACCAGGGCTGTACTTGAGCAAGGATTGACATCACTCTTGTATTTAAGAAAGGTAGGGGGGAAACCGGGGGATGGTGATCCAAATTGTCAAGGTGTTCAGGGTGAAGTTTATGCTCACGTTTCTCTACTACTCTCTCTGGTCACTGGTTTTCCGATGCTCTTTTCACCATGCTGGGTCCAGTGAGAGATCATTGTGTGCACATGATGTGTTTGCTAGCATAGGGTGTTTCAATCAAACTACTGGGGGGAAGGAAATTGGAGAAAAAAGCAAGTGAGGAAGAGAGGAAACACTTGAGAGGCTCAGATGAATGGGGGCAAAGTATAAGATCTAAATCTTTACACAGAGAAAAAAAGAAGAAAATGTTTAGAATTAGCTGATATTAAATTTGTCAACAATATTATCTTATCAAAATGAAAAAAAAAAAGACAAACAGCTGAATTATTCCCACCTGCCAACAGCAGATTGTACATAAGTAATATCCAATTAATCCAAATTTTCAAGGTTCTTTGACTGTGATGAAGAACCCTGAATATGTCAGAGGTCCATTAGAGAGACAATAGTTTCATTTCAAAAACACAGTCATCTGGACCACTGCCCAAACTGAGCATGATTCAACATTTTCCACATAACTTAGTGAAGGCATTTCTAGCCTCCTGGTAAATATGTCAACTCAGTTAACATAGAAACCTATGTTTTACGATTTTATCCAACTCTTCCTCCATTTCTTACGCATAAACAAACCGTTTTGAATCCAAGTACAGTGTGTAACAGTTGTGTATAAGTCTATTACCTACTAGGTTTAGTGGCAAATTCGAAATGATAATAAATCACATGACAGTAATAATACAATATAGTTACATTGTATTGTCATTTCTGATTATTTTATGATTTCTTTTTTATTTCTTGTTATTATGATTCCTGTTAAGATCAATTAAGTAGAATTAATGACACTATGTATCACTGATCAAAACTACAATAACTGAATGATCATCTGCCAGGAGATGCTACTTATTAAAGCCAAATTAGCAGTGTTTCTACCCATGTTTTACAGTAAGGGGATTTTAAAGCATCCCATCAGAAGAACATGATAGAAACAGCCAAATGCAAATTCACTTTTTGCAAATTTTGCTAAAAAGTCTTCCCACTCACCAAAGGTGGTTTTTAACTTTTCAAAAAAAGTAAATGTACTAAAGATATGGAAACACATTTTTCCAATAGGTTCTGATAAAGCAAACATTTAGCCCACATAACTGATCATCTGTTTCTGTTGCCAAAGTCCTGAATACCAGCATAAGAATAACATTCCTCTCTTGACGTCTCCAGTTGGCATGTGCCATCACTAATGCTAGCTGGCATAAGAAAGTAAGCACATCTTGCCAGATTGCAACTTATTTATTCAAACCTTGGTCCATTACTGATCTGTGGTCCATGCTTGCTTGCTAACCCCTTTTCCTGTTTATTACAGCCAGGAATAGCGTCACTGTATGATGAAATTAAGTTTGCATCACCTAAATCACTCCAAAACCAGATGGAAAGACGTCTGATTTGCAGGTTCTTTTTTTCCAACACTTTTTGCATATAAATGAGAAATATATGTAAACCAGGCTGATACCACAAATAAGTATTGTCCACAGTACTGAGAACAATACTTATTTATGTAGACTTTGTAGGGTCTAAACATCTAGTGGGAACTCAAAGTGCTGAAGGACTGCAGTACTGTAGAGTAGGTAAACTTTCAAGGGTAAAACAAAGAGTCTATACGTTGCATTTACAGACTTCACTACATGGTGTGCTTAAAGAATTTATGAGGTTTTCTAGTAACACTTTTGAGAGAAAACGTTTCTGATGGTTGTGAGCCAAAGTAAAACTGTCTATCTAGATTTCAGTGTTTTGAATTAAAATGTGCACAATTTATCATTCACCATTGGGGTGCAAAAAAGGCAGATTGCCACACATAACTGTGAAATCCCTAGATAGGATTCCAGCTTTTTATTTTTCCAAGACAACAATCTCCTCACTGCTAAATCACTCCACTATGTGTTACTTTGTGAACTTTTCAAACCGCAAACTTTGCTATAATTTTTATTTTTTTGTCTTTGATTGTCATACTATTAGGCAAAGTCGAACAATCCTCATGCTTCCAGACCTAAGTCAAAAGTTTGCAAAGCTCTGCTGGGTTCTTTGCAGGCCTTGAGCTCACTTTTTTTTTTGTTACACTTTTTACAAATATCTAAATTTCAAACATGAGAACTGATGTATTGTGTACTAAAACCCTAAAAAACTAAAAAATAAATAAATCAAAAAGATGATGCATGCCTTGTAATAATTTTATTCTACCAATTATTTTTTACTATAGGCTCAATGCCATGCACAGGTAATGCAAAATGTGCAGCTCATAATCATCCCACCAACCCATTAAAATTCCTATGCTTACTTGCTGGCTGACTAAAGCAACAGTAACAATGTGATGGATGAGCCAAAAAATTTTGTAAAACCTTTGGGACTCATCTTTTACTGTTCATAAATATCCTGGTAATCCAAAAACAGAACATGTTATGGGATTTATACTTGCTAAATAAGCCCACTCTAGTAATTCGGTGGCTACAGATTGAAATATGTCTTTGAAATATTGCTTTTCTTGTCTGATTGTTCCGTCTTCCACACCATCGCCGCAAATCAAGTACTAAAGCTTTCAGCACCAGGCATGCAACATCTACCCAGCCGACATAACACATTTACCAGTCCGCTCTCAAAAAGCACACAGAGTCCTGGGTTATCTATATCTGTACACGCAAGCAGATGCAAAAGCGTAGTTAACAAAGAAACCAAGGCATATAGGCTCTGACGACATTAGTCTTCAGCGTGACATTAAGGTTTACATCAAAGAGGCACAACTTTTTCATTGCATAAAACTGAGAAAAATCAATAATAGGCTATTTTTAGGATTTTCACACAGTCAATCACCACTAATAACAGATGCACAGAGTAACTGTATCGTGAATTTACATTATTATACATGCCTGCACAGTAGTAAACTGTATAGCGACAAATATACTATTAGTGGTATATTGTTTTTGTAAAATTATTTTAAACCTTAGGGCCATTCTCTTTAGACACCCAAAGGTTTCTATTGGTTAGAGGAATGTTTTAGGTAATGACATGCCCACAAACTCAACATAGTCACTTGAACACACATTTTGGGACAATGCACTAAGAAAAATTGTCTATAATAACTGGGAAACCCCATTACAACGTATATGAGGGAGTTTTTACTGTACAGTTTTTGGGGATTCACTGTATGAAAAAACTAATATTGTAATTTTCTCCACTTAGATCTAGCAGATCTAACTATACTAGTGGCAATGTTTTTGAAACATCCTACATCATGGGATTGGACTCATGAAAATGATCATGAGAAGAACCTGGAGAGTTTTTTCACATTTTAAACCCAGTGAAATAAAACAACATCAGATAAAGCAATTATTTCCCATTAGGACAATATTTCCTTTGGAAACCATTACCACATTGTAGAATCTGTCATCATAGTCTAACTCTCTGGCAAACTATGCCACTGTGCTTTTCTACAGGTAAATTGTATATATATATATATATATATATATATATATATATATATATATATATATATATATATATATATATATAAAAAAAAAATTAAACTCATGGCATGTGCGGCATGGCATTATATCCTGAGACAAAAGGTACTTAATTTTTATATCAATTTCCCTACATCTGATATCGGCAGCACTGCCAAAACAATATGACATCAATGCTTTCCAGAAAAAATAGTGCAGTCACACGAGGGAAGGGTTGATAAACACGTTGATAGCTACCATGCCCTGTTTATTTAACTAAGTGTGTTAATTTATCACTGTACTTCCCTTCATTTAGGCTCCCATGTGATTATCCTTTTTACAAAAATGTCACATCTTCTTGTGACTGCACCCACAACCAATGAGCATCATACTCCAGGTGCATTTTGCCATTCATTTTACATGTATCCAGGTCAATCTTTCCATTTTTGTATTGTTTAGCTTTTGGGCTCTGGCTCGTTCCCAGTTTGTCAACAAGGCCTTTGCGAGTTGGACTGCCACTCTGTGTTGCAGGTTTTTTCAGAGCACCATTGGCCTTCATTGCTTGTGTTTTGGCATTGTCTTTTGAAACAGAGCTACCATTATCCATCTCTGCAGGCTTAGTCCACACTGGAATCTCTTCCTTAGAGCTGTGTGACTTGACTTGGTAAGACCTGATAGGATCTGCTGATTTTCCAGCCTCACTTACTCCAGACCCTTTAATAGTAGTGCTCACCCCAGGTCCCCCTAGCACTTCATCTCTGTCACTTGTTCCAGACTGAATCCGATTTCCAGACCCATTATTAGCCCTCACTCCCAGAGCAGAACCTGCTCCAGACACTTTAGGGCCTCCAGCTGTGTTGCCCCCAGGAGAAGTTTCTGAAACCAGTGGTGTGGTTGAGCAAATGACAGACTCTGAGCTGGAAGGGCAGTACTCGTCCATGTCATCAGCCAAAGTATCCAGGTAGCTGCCAATTGAGATGTTGTCAAGCTTGTCATTAGTGGGGTCCTGCAGACTGCTCCAGGAACCTCTCCAAGACGTGTCAGGGCCCTCGCCCAGACTGTACTGACTGCTGGTCAGGCTGCTGCAATGACTGGTTAGTGTGCTGCGCTCGTCCATCAGCCACTTCACAGCCTCAATGCCCTCGTGGACCGCCAGCAGTTGTTGCAGAATCTTGACATCCACTGAGCGAAGATAAGCCTGTAGGCAAAATAAAGGAGATATCTTGAAAATATTGTAAATATGTATCCAACAAGTGACACTGATTGATTATTGGTTCCAGATGTGTAAAGCAGTGCCCACTGAAAGATTTTCAGTTTTGCCATCTCCAATTATGAATTCAACACACTGTAGTAAATAGATAAATGGAGGCAGAAGGTGTCTTTCATTCATCAATGCACACATTTAGTGACACACAGGAGCTCTTTCAAGCTGGACACCGTTTCATTCACAATACCTGTCCCATCAATGAGGAATCAGAATCAGAAATACTTTAATAATCCCAGGGCGAAATTACTTTTGTTACATTACTCAATCTGTAATAGAGTGACTATACAAACAGTTTGGTATAACACAATTTCATAAAATATTTATAATATTTAGACCTCTGCCTTAGAGACAATAATTCCACATTAATTGGTTTGTATTACACATGATATATTATAAACTCATATATAAACATAACTCTTACTATATCCTCTACTATACCACTCTTTGTTTACTGAGATTTTTAACTGCATATTAAGAGAAAAAAAATATGTTCTAATTAATTTACTTTACTAAACAATGTTTGATATGATCATCTTGTGATATGGTCTTAAATTTATCCAGCTTAAAAAAAGTCAAGGGCTGATCTCCATTAGATGAATGGCAAACCAAAATAATATATTGGAAAAGTGGGAAAGCAGGAAAATGTTTACTGACACCAAATTATTTCTACAAAGGGAATCCACAGGATACGTCTGGAAAGCATATACAACAGCCAGCTATTGGTTCAGCACACATGTGCTAACACTATTATAGAGGTTATTAAGGTTATAAAGATGACCATAATTGGAAGAGATGTATAACGAACACAAGCAGGTGGAGGCCCCATTACTATAAATAGGAAACAATTTAGAGAAGACACAGTCTCACAGATGAAAAGGAAAATATGACTAAATTTGCTCTCCAAAAGAAGCAGAGAGATTAAAATTGGACAGAGAGGAAAGTTTGACACATTAGTGGTCTTAACCAGCATTTTTAATGTCATGAACATTTCCATACCTTTCCAAAAGTGCTATTCCAAACAGTGACATCTGGATAAAAAAGTAATAATTACACAAAATTAGCAACTATATTCAACTGCAAAATGTTCAGCTGAACACTGAGGGAAAAAAATGTCTCTGTGGTCATGGAAAATTCTTCCTTAGAATCGTTTTGCAGACGTCTGCAGTGAAGTGCACACCAGAGGGTGATATATATGGCACGCAACACTAAGGTTTCACTTAATTATAATCTCTCATCACGACTGTTCCTTTACCACTGAAGGCATTCAGTATCCAGTTTTCCTCAGGTTCTCCCTACTAATTCTTTTTTTTTTCAACTTTCATTTACAATCCTGCCCCCACAAAATCTGATGTTCGTCCAAGGTTAAATCTGTCTTTTAAACCCAATGACATCTGTTGTAACAATGGCAATGAGAAAACATAGTAGATTTGTGCTTTTTGTACTTTCATCTTGCTTAAATACTATTTTAACAAATTGTCTTGTAATTGTGACTCTCTGGAGTCTTACAAACTCAAAAATAAAAGTGAACAGAAACTTTACTGACAATGGTAAGGTTTGTCATTGTGGCTGTTTCTTAAAAAGTAGATTTAAGGACAGATTTAAAGGCCATCAGGTCAAAAAAATTTCATGTCAACATGTTGCAAAAGACCCAACAAGTCCACTCCAATGTGGGAAAATTGGTTATGTTAAGAAAGTACAACAATGTTTTAAGAGGCCTCACGTCTCCACCCAACACAAAATAGATCCAAATCACTTAAGCTGGAGGTAATAAAACGCATTGAAATGATCAGTCTGTGTAATACCTCTTCATGGTCATATTCTAACATATACAGACAAATAATGTTTTCTAGGGATTAAAATCCCACTGACTGTTTACAGAGAAGACTGGCATGAATGGGTTCTAGAGATCATCAAAAACAGCTTCCTGCATGCGTGACTCTGAACCTGCTGGCAACCTGGCACAAGCAGTTTCTGTCTGGCAGCGTCCGGGTGCTTAATGAGAGTGGTGATAAAAGTAGCTCAGAGCCTTTCAGCGCTGAGGTGGCATAATGCTAACGGAGGCCATGTGCTTCAGTCAGCAGCGGAACTATTTGCCTACAGTAAAGTATATCATCGACTAGGTTTAAGAAGCCACCATGTGTCAGTATACAACTAAACGTTGAACAGGAGTGAATTTTGTTGATTAATTGTTGTGTAAATTACCAAAGAAAAACGGTGAACTTTAAACTAAAGATTAATTTATTTATATAAATTTGTAGAATAGCTCAGGCATCCCCAACCTCGGTCCTCAAGGCCCGCTGTCCTGCAGGTTTTAGAGGTTTCCCTGCTTTAGCACAGCTAATTGCAGTAGACCAAAAGCCTGTTAATTAGCTTTCAATTAAAATCAGCTGTGCTGGAGCAAGGAAACCTCTAAAACCTGCAGGACAGCGGGCCTCAAGGACTGAGTTTGGGGATGCCTGGAATAGCTCATCTAAACATTTACTAAGCATTTGTGTCAATGTTGCTTATCAATTTTTATGTTATAGATGATTTCTTTCAGACCTATTGTTATTGTTTAATATTTTTTAATTGTGTAGCGGATTTAGACTTGCTCACGACAGAAAGGCCACTTTTGGCAGGAAAAGGCGTGTGGGGGGGATTTTCAGACAAGATGGAAGTGGAACATGGAGTTCTAGGGGGAAAAAAAATCAAGCCATCACTAATGATTTTTTCATGTTTAAAGACATCAGTACACAGAACAGCCAAAGACACATTTCATGCAAACAACTCAGGCATGAGGCATCATCTCGTTTATCCGTATGAATCTGTTAAGCTCATTATCCTGTAGCGCTTGTCTTTTGCACTGTAAAACATTTTTTCTTTATAGAGGATATATTTTACTGGGTATGGGAATGTTTAAAATTTATGTATGAAAATAATATAGAAAAGTGAAACATTGCCGATAGATATAAAAAATGTCCTTCCACATTTATTAATTTTTTTTAATGGGAAACAACTATTTAAATAAACAATTATCGTTGTGATAAAAAAAAAATTAAATACACCTACAGAAATTATTTTTGGAGTTTTAAGGGATTATTATTATTTTTTTCTAAGTGAAATGTAAACAAAAAACGAAATGAATTTAAAACAAGGAATTGCCCGGTAATGTATGACCTGTCCAGTGTCTACCCTGCTTTTCGCTCACAGACTGCTGGAGATAGGCACCAGTCTTACCCCAACCCCGACGGATTAATGGGAGATAATGGATGGATGGATGGATGGATGGATGGATGGATGGATGGATGGATGGATGGATGGATGGATGGATGGATGNATGGATGGATGGATGGATGGATGGATGGATGGATGGATGGATGGATGGATGGATGGATGGATGGATGGATGGATGGATGGATGGATGGATGTTCTTTATTCCAAAGAGCTCAAAATTTCCATTTTCCATGAGTCTATTGTGAAAAGTGGGATTTCTTCTGTCATCATCTGTGGGGCAGCCGCATCAGGACAATTAACATAAAGAAACTCAATAAGTTAATAAAATTTTTGACTGAGAATTCCAAAACAAGTGCCTTTAACTCAAACAAGATGGAGATGCTACTTTCACGGTAGCTTACCTGGACCTGAACACTGTAACCCGCACACAAAAGTACTTTAAGAGGAAAAGCACATAAAAATCAGTACCTAAGTGTTTCTCAATACAATCAGCAAAATAAAAAACTGAGAAACACATCTTCAGAGATTGGTGTGGTTTGTCTGTAAGCTGTTAGGTACATTTCATAGTTTTTAGAGTAGAGAAAATCCACATGACCTTTTTCGAAATAAATTGGTGTTAAAATTAAATGTCAGCACTCACCATTCTTGTTAGTGCATGGCCTTTACTGGGGCCTTATTTTACCTCATCTATTATGTAAGATCGTTTTTAACCATTTCAAAAGGACTGATGGCTTTACTTAATTAGAATTCTATTAATTATTAACGGATACCAACTGTTGGTTTAGACAAACTCTGTCCTTTCTGTAGCAAAAGAACAAACAACCCAGAAGAAATTATAAAAGACCAGAAATACCAACAGCCGCTTTTTGCCCACAACCACAATCTGATTAGTGGGAAGTTTAATATTATGTTGGGGTTTTTTTTTCAGTAGAAATGATAGCGCAGCCAGTAGGAGCATGAACCGTGACACAGACCCACCCAAATGGAAAAAAACAACAACTTTCCAATGTCACATAGCTCACAAACTGACTGCTGAATCACTGCCAGCTGGGACACCAGTTATCTCATTCAGTAGCAGCATAAACACACATTCTGTCTTCCGTATCCTCTGGTGTCGCTGTCTGCTTTTTCACCTTCTGAGTCTCTCTGGTCATGTGCAGACAGACGGTGTCCTTGCACACTCCATTCACCCTGAAATAAACCATCTGTCTCCATTCCTCCATGAAATTTCAAATGCCCTTTTCTACAGGGCAGTCATGTCTAAATCTCACATAAAGAAAAAATATTAAATATGTTAAGAGAAATGAATTCTAGATTTAGCTGATTATTGTATAAATCAACAAAAAACAACAGCTTTTAATTTTGAGCTAAACTGAGCCCTAAATCTAAGGCGAACAGCTTTCATAACTATGGAACTAACTGGTTACAGTTGAATGTGATTTTTTTTTTCTAAGCAATTAAATACAAAATATGATCATGGTTCCACTAATTGTATTCTAATTTGAATTCCAAGCCATCGGGTTTGGTTTGGAGTGAATAAACTAGACTAAAATTTCATCAGAGGTTGGCTGTAGAAGTGTTTGTAATCAGGGCAGTGATACAATTTGTTTGGTAATAATTTAATTAGGCACAATCCTGCAATGACAGCTAAAAGCAGCAGAGGAGATTTTCCACAGCCCTGTTTGCATTTTCAGTGCTTACTTTGCACTGACTTTTAT